TCTCTATTAGCCCAGAACTAAAACAATTTCTGAGGCCAACTCTTCAGACAAGGATTGGACTGGACTGTGGGACATAAAGTGATCCTCATGAGGAGTGTGCCCCTTAGCTCAAGTAGATACAAGAGACTAAACAGGCAGCTTCTGTCTGGAGGTGAGATGGGAAAGCAGAGAGGGTTAGGAGTTGGTTGAATGGACATGGGGAATCAGAGGTGGAAAGGAGGAATGTGCTGTCACAGTATGGGGAGAGCAATTAGAGTCACGTAACAATGTATGTATAAATCTTTGTATGGGAAAAAAAAGTTAAAACTTAAAAAAAAAAGAGTAATGGACTTGTTCAACAGACACTTCACCCAAGAGGGTGGATATATGGGTGGCAAATAAGCACATGAAAAGATGGTCAAAATCATGAGAAATGCAACTTCAAACCACGATGAGATACTACTGCACACTTAACAGAATGGCTACAATAAAAAATACTGGTAATACCAAGTGTTGGTGAAGATGTGGGGTAACTGGAACTCTCACTGCTGGTAGGAAGGCAAAATAGTACAGCCACTCTGGAAAAGAGTTTGGCATAATCTAGTACAGTCGAAGCCATTCACACTCCAAGATCCATCAGTTTCGCCTTGGATAAATCCGTAAGAATATTTCCAGCAGCATTAATCATGATGGCCAAAACTGGGCTGTCACCCAAATGTGCACCACCAAGAAAAAAAAAAAAGATTAAGTAGTGATGTCTTCAGATAATGTAGCAACATAACAATAAAAAAATGAACCAACTCCAGCTACACGAATAATATTAATAGATCTTATAAGCATAATGTTGAATGAAAGAAGCAAAACACCAAAGAGTACAAACAGTACGCATGACTCACTGAATATAAAATTTAAAAACAAGCAAAGGTAAACTGTATTGTTGTGGGATATATTCATAGGTGTAAATTTATAAAGAAAAGTAAGGAGGTGAGTCCTGTACAAATCAGGACTGTGATTACCTCTAATGGGGAGGGGGCGATCATGGTTGGGAAGAGACACATTTTTCTGTTTTTTTTTTATGTTGCTTATTGTTGTAGTTTAAGTGAAAGTTTATGTTTCAAGTTAGTCTCTTATACACAAATTTATACATACACTGTTATGTGACCTTAATTGCTCTCCCCATACTGTGACAGCACACTCCTCCTTTCCACCCCTGTTTTCCCATGTCCATTCTACCAGCTCCTAACCTTCTCTGCCTTCTCATCTCACCTCCGGACAGAAGCTGCCCATTTAGTCTCATGTATATACTTGAGTCAAGAAGCACATTCTTCACGAGTATCATTTTATGTCCCACAGTCCAGTCTAATCTTTGATTGAAGAGTCGACCTCGGGAATTGTTTTAGTTCTGGGCTGATAGAGAACTGGGGGGCCATGCTTTCTGGGGTTCCTCTATCTCATTCAGACCATTAAGTCTAGTCTCTTTACTAGAATTTGAGTTCTGCACCTCACCTTTCTCCTGCTCGATCAGGGACTCTCTGTTGTGTTCCCTGTCAGGGCAGTCATTGGTGGCAGCTGGGCACCATCTAGTTCTTCTGGTCTCAGGCTGATGAAGGGGAAGAGACACATTTTTATGGATTGAATTGGTGTCCCCAAAATGTGTATCAACTTGGCTAGGACATGATTCCCAGTATTGTGTGGTTGTCCATCATTTTGTGATCTGATGTGATTATCCTATGTGTTGTAAATCCTAACCTCTATGATGTTCGTGAAGCAGGATTAGAAGCAGTTATGTTAATGAGGCAGGACACAATCTATAGGATGAGGTTGTGTCTTGAGTCAATCTCTTCTGTGATATAAAAGAGAGAATCGAGTAAGGAGGAGAGGGACTTCATACTACCAAGAAACAAGCACTGGGAGCAGAGTGCATCCTTTGGACCCAGGGTCCCTATGCTGAGAAGCTCCTAGACCAGGGGAAGATTGATGACAAGGACCTTCCCCCAGAGCCAACAGAGAGAGAAAACATTCCCCTAGAGGGGGCACCCTGAATTTGGACTTCTAGTCTCTGAAACTGTGACAGAATAAATTTCTGTTTGTTAAAGCCATCCACTTGTGGTATTTCTGTTTTAGCAGCACTAGATGACTAAGATAGAATTTGGTACCAGGAGAGTGGGGTGCTGCTGTAACAGATGCCTAAAATGTGAAGGCAGATTTGAAACTGTGAATGGGTAGACCCTGTAAGAGTTTTAAAGTGTCTAATAGTAAAAGCCTAGATTGCCTTGAAGAGACTGTTGGTGGAATTATGGACATCAGAGTCAGATCTGGTGGGGGCTCAGAAGGAAGTGAGGAGAGCTGTAACCCCAGAGACAGCGTAGACAGTGAGAAGCAGCAGCAGCAGAAAAATGGCAGCAGCAGAACCAGGAGATTGGCATGAGCCAGTGTGGGAGCGACCCAGGGAGCAAGAGAGCTGAGGGCTTTCAGGCAGGAGGCTTCCTGGCAGAATGGGGTGCCTCCGGACACTTACTGGTGGAGCTAGGCTTGCCTACCTGCACACTGAGAGAGCTGAGTGCCTCTCAGCGGAGGTTTACTGGAGGAGGGGGCTGCTTCCTGGCACTTACTGGTGGGTCTAAAGAACTTTGTTAACACTTGCCGAGCAGGGCAGATGCTGGGTCTGCCCAAGAGGCCTGAGCTCCCAGGGGACTAAGGGGCCAAGAGGCCAAAGAACCAGGAAACAGAAGCTGAAGAGACAAAGAGCACAGGAAGCAGAGGTGCCTCCATCTCAAAGGGTAGGTCCACAACCTCTGGGATCTCAAAGGGTGAAACCATGGCTTGATGTGTCTCATAGGGTGGAATCATGGCCTCCTAGGTTTCAAAGAGTCAGATCTTCACCAGCTCGGTTCCAGAGTATGGGGCTGCCTTCCACAAGTGCCAGCAGGATGGGACCAGATCTGCAGCCCAAAGCTGAGGAGGCAGGGCTGCCATACCCAAGGGGAAGAAAAACAAGGTCTGCTGGGGCCAAGGTGGTAGGGTTGCCACTAAGATGGATTAGGAGAAGGGAGCCACCCAAAGCCAAGGGAGCAGACTTGCCATTCCAGTGGGCCTGGAAGGCTGAGCTGAAGCCCAGGACTAAGGGGCTTCCAGCCAGCGTCCAGAGAGTGTGGTCAACACTCAGAGTAGGGAGGGCAAGGCCATTGCCTAAATGGTCTCAGAAACAGAGGATTATTTTCAAGCCTTGAGAGCTAATATAATTTGTTCTGCTGACCTGCTTGGTGCCTATTTTCCCTTCAATTTCTCCCATTTGTAATGGGAATGTCTACCTTGTGCCTATTCCACCATTGTACCTTTGAAGCAGATAACTTGAATTCTAGATTTCATAGATGAAGATGAATTTTGCAGAAGATGAAATTTTACACTTGGAGTTGAGACTTTTGGGATGATATGATGGGGTTATGTTTTACTTGTGGCAAGGACATAAATTTTGTGGGGGGCCAAAGGGTGGAACGTTATGGATGGAAATGTGCACCCTAAATGTGTATCAACTTGGCTAAGCCATAATTCCCAGTATTGTGTGGTTGTCTACCATTTTGTGATCTGTTGTGATTATCCTATATGTTGTAAATCCTAACCTCTGTAATAGAATGAACAAACCTGTCTTGGAAGAAGTACAGCCAGAATGCTCATTAGAAGCAAGGACGGCAAAACTTCTTCTCACATACTTTGGACATGTTATCAGGAGGAACCAGTCCCTGGAGAAGCACATCATGTTTGGTAAAGTAGAGAGGATCAGTGAAAAAGAGGAAGACCCTCAATGAGATGGACTGACACAGTGGCTGCAACAATGGGCTCAAGCATAACAACGATTGTGAGGATGGCACAGGACTGGGCAGTGTTTCGTTCTGTTGTACACAGGGTCCCTATGAGTGGGAACCGACTAGATGGCACCTAACAACAGTAAGATGTTAATGAGGCAGGATTAAAGGCAGTTTTGTTAATGAGGCAAGACTCAATCTACAGGATCAGGTTGTATCTTGAGTCAATCTCTTTTGAGATATAAAAGAGAGAATTGAGCAGGGAGGAGAGAGACCTCATGTCACCAAGAAAGAAGCCCTGGGAGCAGAGTGCATCCTTTGGACCTGGGTTCCTGCACTGAGAAGCTCCTAGACCAGGGGAAGATTGATGACAAGGACTTTCCCCCAGAGCCAACGGAGGGAGAAAGCCTTCCCCTAGAGCTGGCACCCTGAATTTGGACTTCTAGCCTCTGAAACTGTGAGAGGATAAATTTCTGTTTGTTAAAGCCACCCACTTGTGGTATTTCTGTTATAGCAGCACTAGATAACTAAGACACACATGGTAGACTGATGAGGTTCTCTTTCTTTCCTGTCCCAGCCTCTTGCCTTCGATCAACAGGCCGTAAGTACTGGTGGCTGGAAATCACATCACTGCTCGGGGGTTTAGCTTCCCTGGTACTTCCTGTTGGTAGTGTTGGATGCAGTTTTGCCCAGAGAAAGGGCAACAAACAGGGAGCTGTGATCCCACCCTCTACCCTTCCACTGAAGGTGCTGGTTCTGCATCCCACCAGCTCTGTTCTCCAAGCCTCAGTTTCCCCATGTGTTAATGGAGGATGATGGCCCCAGCATGCCTGTCTCACAGGGTGGGATACTGAATGCTAAAGGGCTTTGAGAGCTGCTGCCCAAATGCCAGGGATTATCCAGTTCTCTGGGTAAAACCATGCTACTGCAAGACCACCAAAAGTGAGGCAGGGCAAGACCCGCAGGACTGGCCCCACCCTGCCCTGCAGCGCTGCAGGAGGAATAGGTGCAGCAAGCTGTCTGTTAAGTCCGTCCACCGGCTCTCACCAGCCAATGGGCTAGGGCTACCAGGAGCAGCTCACTCACCCCATTTCCTGTTTTCAAACAGGAAACTTAGCAAAGCAGCAGCCATTTGTCTGCTCACCAGGGCTTGGAACGAATCACAGAAGGTGACAATGTGACGCTGCTCCCTGACCCCTGGACACACGCAGGGCCACAGGCCTCAGGTCAGTGTTTTAATTCCAAGTTCCGCTGGCCTCTGCCCCCTGTGGCCTGAGCCTCCTCCTCCCGTGTCCCTCCTCAGTACCTGGTGGGGGCAGGGCAGTCACAGCCTCTATGTGTGGGACTCTTGATAGAGATCTGGGCACAGCAGGAAGCAGTCCCTGCCCCTCCAACACTTCACAAATCCTTTGAAAATGCCAGAAACTTCCACAACCCCTCTTAGGACTAGGGAACAAGTCAGAACACCTGTGTTTCTCAAAAAGTGGTGCCAGGGGATCCCTCTATCAGCCTAGCCCTGGGGAACTTGTGAAAAATGCAGAATCCAGGGCCCACCCCCAACGTGCTAGAGCAGATTGTCTGGTGTTAAGAGCCAGGAAATCTGCTTTTCAACAAGCCCCCATACCTCTCATCACTGGGGGATTCTGATGCACTCTCCCATTTTCTAGCCCCTGCCCTTGGCAAGGGTTCCTCAGGTGAGCATCCAGTTGTCCATGGTACTATCCTTTCCCCACCGGGGCAGCTGGCACATCCAGTATCCGGGGGCCTCCTCTCTCTCCACCCTGCTGGGTGGATGAAAGGCCTCTGCAGCCCTCAGAAAGGCAGCGTGGGCTCCGAAGGCCGCCCTGTCTGCCCGTCAGAAGGGCTAGGGTGGGGGCAGGGCTCCTGGGGAGTGGGCGAGGGGAAGCAGGAGAGGAATCACTGTGCCTGCACTGGGAGCAGGGTGGTGGAGGGGCTGGGAAGCTGCTCTGTCTCCTGGGCCAAGTGCAGCCCCCAAGCCAGCAGTACCAACACTTGTAGTGTTTTGTCGTGATGTCTAGAAATCTTTGCTAAAGAGGGTATTGAGAAGGGACGGAAGGGCCCACAGAACCCATGTGTGGCTGTCCCAAAGAGCTTTCAGAATCATAGGATTGTTTTCTCCATTTCACAGATGAGAAAACCAAGGCCTGGGGAGGGATGGGAAGCTTCCAAGACCCCGTGAGGGGCACTAATACCTGACCATTTCCCTCGTGCTCCTCGTTAAGTGGACTCATAAGGGAGCTGGTCTTGGCTGCTGAATTCAGTGTTTATTCTAAGCCTTAGGTTCATGGTGAACGTCCCCAGGTCTCTGCTGGAGTGTCCAGCCAAGGCCATCATTCCTGGGGTCTTACAGGTCAGGCCCTCTGGGCAAACAGCGTCCTGCTTCTGACCTGGTGCCAGCTGCCTGATTATGAAAGCAGAGTTGGAAGGGCTGGTATTATTGAGTCCAATGCCACTCACCATCGCCCATTTTACAGATGAGTTGACTCAGGCAAGTGCATAGGAGTACTCCCAGGAAAAAATATGGCCCCCAAGAATCCGGCCACCAAAAGTCCATTAGACAAGAGAGCACATGGTCCATGCACCATCTTGCCTGGGCACCTACCAGAACGTAGGGAACCTGTCCCTAGCTATCCATCATCTTATCAGCAGGACAGGCCTTGGGACCACACTTTGCTGGTGGGAAAACCAAGACCTAGAGATATTAAATAGCTCACCTAAGGGCCAACAGTTGTCAGGATGGAAGGCTAGGTCTCCAGGGGAGATGACAGATAAATGAAGTCAGGGAAACAATCATGCCCTCAGTCATGCATAGTCCCAGGCCATATCCCTGCTTCACACCTGGATTTCCCATCTGTCAAAAGTGAGGTGGGATGGAGGGCCACCACTGTCACTGGGCAACTGCACAGAGCCACCTGGAGAATGCTCCAGGGTTCCTGACCCCAGCTGACCTCACCTCTCCCCAGGCCAGGCCGACTCCAGGAGGCCAACACCCTGGAGCGAGGGACAGGTTCTGGCCACACCCAGGGACTAGTAGAGGCTGTGTGGGCAGCAGTGGCCTTATATTTCTCTAGAGCATAGTCAGCATAGAGGTTCAGCACAGGGCCTGGAATCCAGCAGACGGGAGTTCAGGCCCAGTTCCGCACCATGCGCTCACTTGTGGCTTCCTAGAATCCTCTCAGGAAGGATGTGAGGTAACTTGCAGCCTCCTTATTTCACATTTCTGTATTTAAGCAGTATCCTAGCTACTCATTCCTTCTGAGCTACACCTAATTTTTTAACTGTCCCATGCTCTGAATTTGTCTCACATGTGTTTGATTCTATTCCAACTTACACTTTATTAGAGTATTTATTTCACAAGTATTTCTCAACATGTATTGAATCCAACACGTGTTGGATCATAATAATCAGGAATATTATCTGGTATTCCCTATGTTATGGATTGAATTATATCCCCTAAAAATGTGTGTCGACTTGACTAGGCCCTGATTCCCAGTATTGTGTGATTATCTACCACTTTGTGATCTGCTGTATTTATCTTATGTGTTGTAAATCTTAACCTCTGTGATGGTAATGAGGCAGGATTAGAGGAAGTTATGTTAATGAGGCAGGACTCAATCTATAGGATTAAGTTGTGTATTGAATCAATCTCTTCTGAGATATAAAAGAGAGAAGCGAGCAGAGAGACGGGGGACCTCACACCACCAAGAAAGTAGTGGCAGGAGCAGAGCACGCCCTTTGGACCCAGGGTCCCTGCGCTGAGAAGCTCCTAGACCAGGGGAAGATTGAGACAAAGACTTTCCTCCAGAGCCAGCAGAGAAAGTCTTCCCCTGGAGCTGGCGCCCTGAATTCAAACTTTTAGCCTACTAGACTGTGAGACAATAAATTTCTCTTTGTTAAAGCCAGCCACCTGTGGTATTTCTGTGACAGCAGCACTAGATAATTAAGATACCCTGTTATAATAATATCGTATTACTATGATATGTGCTGCGCCCTGAAGCAGTTGTACGTGGTCTGTCTGACTTAATCCTGTCACCAGCCTCATGAAGGTGGGTTCTATTATTATGACCATTTTATAGGAAACTGAGGCACAGAGAAGTTAAGTAGCTTGCCAGGTGCTTTGTCAACTGGTTCCCTTACCTGGGTCACAAGCAGAGTTATTGCATAAATTGGACCCCAGGACTTGGCCTGCCTGCCCTCCACCCCTGAGGAGGGTGGAGAGGATTCTGCAGTCAGCCCAGCCTGGGTTTGTGGCCTGTTCATCATTTACTAGCTCTTGATCTTGACAACTCTAAGTCTCAGTTCGTTTATTGCAAAATGGACATCACAATAGTCTCAATCAGCCAGAGTGTTGGAGCACGTGCGAGAGACCGTGTCGAGGGCAGAGTACTCAGTCTGGCATGTAACAAGCATGTGGGACCAGTTAGGCTTTGCTCATTGGGCACATTCACCAGCTGTATGGCTGTGGGCTAAGCCTCAGTTTCCTCATCTGTTAATTGGGAGGAATGATAGATTTTTTTGTGGGTGTTAAGTAAAATAGTGTGTGTGAAGAGCCTACATGGATATGAAGTGGGTATAGTGAACTGTCTGTAAATGTTTGCTTAGATAGAGAGGAAGAGACAGACGGGAAAAAACCATACCAGTATCCACCTGCTCTGAACACTGGGATTTCATTACACATGTAATATAAAATGGAGTATTAGAACATCCATCTGGACAGGCCAGCATTTTTCTCCCAAGTAATCACTGAAGCCATTACCTTCTCTTGGTGTAAAAATGGCATGGAGATGGTGTCAGACCTCTTTCTTCATAAGGGGGAAGGAGAATCCAGATCAGCAGCCCAAGGCTGATTCCTATGGGGCAGAGGTCGGACTTGCCTCCCCTCTTGGCCATCTTTACCAATTCTGACACCAACCGTCCCTCCCATGGCACTCTCTACTTCTGGGTTCGATAATTCATTGCAATGGCCACACAGAACTCACAGACCATGCTCATAGTTATGGGGTTTATTAGGGAAGTAACAGGTTACAGTTCAGGATCAGGAATGCTCAGGATACAGTTCTTCCATCAGGACAGCCTCTTCTCAGCTGTGCACGCAGGCACACCTCTCTCTGGCCCTAGGCCTCTGCCCTGCCTCTGCCCTGCTCAGGCAAGTGTTACAAAGCTCTTTCAGCCCCTGCCAATAAGTCCCCAGAGGCATCCCAGGCATTCAGCTTTCTTGGTCCATGGGCTGGGAAGCCCAATGCACGGTCTACTGCCAGTCTCTCCTGCCACTGCTTCCCGCCGTCTTCAGGGTTACAACTCTCTCTCTCTCTCTCTGTCTCCTGGTTCCAGGAGCTTCTCAGCGCAGGAATCCCGGGTCCAGAGGACACACTCTCAGCTCCTGGCTGTTCTACCTTGGTGGTGGTGGGAGCCTCCTCTTTCCTGCCTCTGGGGTAGCTCATTTCAATCCTAGCAGGATGGCAAAACTGACAAATCCCTTTGGTGGGCCACAATTACCTTATCTGCACAGTTCCACCCAGTCATCTGGGTGGGAGTTACAAGACCATGGCGAGAAAGGTCACACAAAGTGATCCATCGTACCACACTTGGGATCACCTCATTTAAAATTCAACTCGATAATATAAGGATCATCAGAATACAATAAGGATCTGCTCAGCCTGGGAGTGACCTGCGCAGCAATCCACACCATGCTGGGTGCAAAAGGGCAGCCCCAGGTTTAGAATCTGGCGACTGGACGGGCAACTGGGTTGGTGGTAGAGGGCTCAGCAGCAGGCTGTTGTCTTTCCTTCTGTTCCTTTCTGCCTGCCAGCAGGGAATATGACACAGATCGTAGGCTCCCCAGAAACCACAGGAACCCTACCATGAGTGGGCACTCACTGATCTCTCTTGTGTCCTTGGCAGCCTTGGAGCATGGCAAGTCCCGAGCACCCTGGGAGTCCTGGCTGGACAGGGCACCCCGTAGCCCAGTGTGCAGCAAGGACCAAGCAGGAAGCATCAGCCACTGGTCCAGACCTCCTAAACCCAGGACCTGCAGGACACTTAGGTGGGCTTGAAGTGTGGGGCTTGGTCAGGGTGTACAGGCTTGAAGACATTTGAAGCAAGCACGTGGTTCACCTCAACGTATGCAATGTTGTCTTCTAGCTGGGCAGCTCTCTTAACTTGGGTTACCCCAAAGTAGACACTGAGATGACGATTTGGGTGCAAGTCATTTATCTGGGAGATGATTATAGGGAGGCATTGTGGGGGGTGGGAAAGTGAGGAAAGGAAGGGCAAGTAGCCAGTATAGAGACAGTGTCCACGAGCAGATTACTGCTGTGGGCAACTGGGCCCAATCCTAATGAGGAGCCTTTGGGAGACTGAATAGATCGTATCTCAAAGATGTCCCATCTGAGGGACGAGAAAGCCAGGCTATTTATACACCAAATCCTTCATCGGCTGAGGGATGCTTTTGAGCAAGCTCTTATGTCCCAAGAAAGCCCTCAGGCCGAGAGTGGCAGGTGCTTCCAGAAGGTAGCTAGTGGCATGGGCTGGCATCGTTAAGTGGTGAGCCGGTGTGGCCGGGCACCGACAGCGTCTGCTACAGTGCCATCTCTCGGAATAAATCGCCACTCGTTCATTCATTCATTCATGCAATCATTCAAGAAGTGCCGATTGAGAATCTGCTCTGTTCCAGGCCCTACGCAGGGCACCGGAAAGCAGGAACAGGTCAGACATTAGGCTGGCTCTCAAGTTCAGCGAAGAAACAGATCATAGAAAAGTAATTTGAAATGTCATGAAAAAGGCCAAAGGAACAAGCAGAGAGGCTCTTACGCAAACGCTGAGGGACAGTAGCAGTCACATGTGGGCTGGCCCTTGAAGGACACATTGGAGAATGGCTTCTGGGACCCATGACCCCTTGAAATAAAATGCAAACCCACATGCACATTTTGCTGAGAAGGGATCCTAAGTGTTCCCAAGATTCTCAGAGGGGCTCAGAGCTCATGAAAGGTTTCAGAAACACTGTTAGAGTAGTCCATGCAAGGAAAGAGGTGGGCTCTTGTGCACGAGACAGGGGCAGGAAGCATGGCGGGTGGGAAATGAGTGAGGTCAGGGCCGGTCAGGCTGAGCCCAGAAGGCAGCAGCCCTCCAACATCTGCTGGGACATGCTCAAGGAGCCCTGGTGCCAACTACCGAGCCACTGTCGTGGGGAGGGCAGAGATGAGCGAACCATAGTCCCACTCCCCAGGAGTATGGCACCTCACAATATCAATCCATAGGCCAGAAGCAGGCAATGCCACACAACCATACCGCAGACTCTCAGAACCAAGAAAGCACCTTGAGATGGTGGGCCATCTGGGCTTGCAGGTGGTGGGTGGACTCAGCCAGGTTGGGCACAGAGGTCTGGTTGATGGCCCTGGTTGGGCCTATAAATAGAAGGGTTGGGGGTAGGGGACATTCACCCCCTCTTCAGGAACTCTGAGGTCCCATCCTAGGCAGACCTAGCCATCTCCCCAAGCCTTAGCTTCTGAAGTGCACTGGCTGGCACAAATCTCAAAGCATGCCGTCCTTCCAGATACCACCAGCAGCCTGAGCCCCAACTCCAACATGACCACGCGTGAGCTGCAGGAGTACTGGCGGAACGAGAAATGCCACTGGAAACACGTCAAACTGCTCTTTGAGATCGCATCGGCCCGCATTGAGGAGAGACAGGCCTCCAAGTTTGTGGTAGGCCAAGATCAAAAAACCATCTTTCACACCCTTGCACTGCCTCCTTTGTGGCCCCGGGCAAGTCCTGTGGGGTCTCAGCGTTCCCAGTCATGAAATGGGTTGGCACACTCTTTAACTCACAGACTTCTTCTGGAGAAAATGGTCAGAAAGCGAGATTTTGTGAGTGCCTACTATGTGCTCGGCACTGAGCTAGGTATGGTGGGGATTAGAGAACCTAAGTCACGGTCCCTGATCCTGAGGAGGAAATAGCCCAGCGGGGACAACAAAGTCTACATCCAAGAAACAACACGCAATTTAATCCCATGTTATCAGTAATCTGTGTCCCTTCTTCATGGGGTCTGCCACCTCCCTGTAGCATTGACATTATTAGTATTTTTTCTTTAAATTGGATCACTTTTTGTAAAAAACACAAAACACATTTATTTCAAAAGAAAATCCCTTAAATGGAAAACCAGTATCCTGTGACATAAAAAAGGAAACTAGAAAAATAAAAACAAGGAAGGTTAACCATCATAATAAACAATAATAATAAATAAAATAGATGCTAGCTGGTTACTGTGTGTGGTAGAAAGCCCTAAGCTTGGGGACTGTTCTCTCCAAAAAACCCAACCCACTGCCATCAAGTCAATTCCAACTCATAGTGACCCTATAGGACAGAGCTGAACTGCCCCAGCAGGTTTCCAAAGCTGCAAATCTTTACAGAAGCAGACTGCCACATCTTTCTCCCACGGAGCCACTGGTGGTTTTGAACCACTAATCTTTTGGTTCGCAGCTGAGCACTTTAACCACTGCACCACCAGGGCTCCTAGCTTGTGGTAGGGAATGTTAAAGACTATATCTACCACTCGTCTGTCAGTTTGTTGTACTGTGGTGTCTTGCATATTGCTATGATGCTGGAAGCTATGCCACCAGTATTTCAAATAGCAGCGGGGTCACTCATGGTTTCAGTGGAACTTCCAGACAAAGACAGACTAGGAAGAAAGGCCTAGAAATCTACTTCTGAAAATTTGCCAGTGAAAACTCTATGGCTCACAACAGAATATTGTTCAATATGGTCGCTATGAGTCGGAATTGACTTGACAGCAATGGGTTTTGTATAGTGCTGGAAGATGAGCCCCTTAGGTTGGAAGGCACTCAAAATACACAATGGCCAAATAATGGACTGGAGCATACCAATGATTGTGAAGATGGCATAGGACCAGGCAACATTTTCTTCTCTTGTACATGGGGTTGCCATGAGTTGGAACCAACTTGACAGTGCTTAGCAATAACACAAGACTATATATGGGCCACACTCAACCTTCCTCCCTCCCTTAATTGGGACCAGAATAGTAGTAACGGCTAATACTGAGTGCTTACTGTGCGTCAGGCAGAGTTCCAAAGTGGTTGTGTGTATTAACTCATTTAGCCCTCACCCAATGAAGATGCTGTTACTATTCTCATTTTACAGGTTCAAAGAGGTTAAATTACCTACCTCTGACCACACAGCTAGCCCGTGCTGGGGCTGGGATCAGAACCCTGGCAGTCAGCTCTAGAATCTCTGTCGTCAATCAGTAGACTCTATGCCCATGGAAAGAGAATGGAAAAGGACTCCTTTTCTTACTACGAATCTCTGTCCTCAATCAGTAGACTCTATGCCCATGGAAAGAGAATGGAAAAGGACTCATTTTCTTGCTACGTTATTACCAGTACACCACCTGAAACCATCTCCCAGTGTTCAACACTTGGAGAACACAGGTCAAATCCAAGCTTCCCATTCAAGAAAACCAAGGCCCAGTTTTGAGAATGCAAAGTCAAGACAGACCCCAGGCCCCCTGCACCTCATGTTCCTGTTTTCTTTCTCCCAGGCACACCTCCATGCGGCTGTGTCTGGTATTTTTGGGTTAATTCTTGTCATGATTCGTTTTGGTAGTCTGGCCGATTCCCATGACAATTTACAGCAGAACGGCAGATAACGGCAACCCATTTTCGGGGTATTGTTTTAAATCGTCGTCATCATTATTTTATTTGCCTGTGCTCTCTCTGTCACTTCAAACCTCTGCCAGGTTGTCGTCAGTCTTTCTCTCTTTGCCTTGCAGATGTACCAAATTGTTGTCATCCAGACAGGGAGTTTTGACAGCAACAAAGCCATCCTGGAACGGCGCTACTCAGACTTCGAGAGGCTCCAGAAAAACCTCCTCAAGATTTTCAGGGAAGAGATCGAAGACGTCACCTTCCCCAAGAAGCACCTGATGGGGAACTTCACGGAGGAGATGATCTGTGAGCGCAAACTGGCCTTCAAGGAATACCTGAGCCTGCTCTACGCCATCCGCTGCGTGCGCCGCTCCCGCGAGTTCATCGACTTCCTCACGCGGCCCGAGCTCAGGGAGGCCTTCGGCTGCTTGCGCGCCGGCCAGTACACCAACGCCTTGGACATACTGGTGCGTGTGGTGCCCCTGCAGGAGAAGCTGACCAGCCACTGCCCGGTCATGGTGGTCCCAGCTCTCTGCGCCATGCTGGTGTGCCACCGTGACCTCGAGCGCCCCCTGGAGGCCTTCGCCGCGGGCGAGAGGGCCCTGCAGCGCCTGCAGGCCCGGGAGAGCCACCGGTACTACGCTCCTCTGCTGGACGCCATGGCCCGCCTGGCCTACACACTGGGCAAGGACTTCGTGTCCCTGCAAGAGAAACTGGAGGAGCGCCAGCTCCTGAAGCCCACCACCCAGGGACTCACCCTGAAGGAACTCACGGTCCGGGAGTATCTATACTGAGCCAGCCTGCCCAGAAGAGCTGGAGACTTGGGGGTCACCACTGTTTGGTGGGCTATTTGGGCTTCATTTTTAGTGGGAAGAGCCATTTTGGGTCCTAACTTACGGGGTGACTTTGGGCAAGCCCCTTCCCTTCTCTGGTCCTTTGTGTCCTCCTCTGTATTGGCAAAGGTCTGACTGAACCTCCTTGGAATTTTGTTTGCATCCTGCATCCCCTTGAGACCAGGCCCATCACTTCATCTCAAAACCACAAACCCGGCTCCCAAAACATTGGAGAGTAATATTGATCTTACCGAGGCTTTTGTGGAAAGCTAGGGGTCAGGTTTACATTGCACATCGTCAACAAACTTAATCCATTTCCTCTCAGACAGCTCTCCACAGCTGTCCTGAGTGTTTTCCATTTACTCCTCCCTGTTCAACATTGCTTACAAATCTTCCCACCCATTAGCCCAAGGATTCTAGCTCTTCCCTCTTAGCGTGTACACCCAACTCGGTAAAACAAAAGCTCACCTATTGGTCCCCAGAACAGCCTCCCCTGAGGTGGGGGTTGTATTCCATCCTTTGAAGAGTGGGAGGATATTTGGCTGGAAAGCAATAATGTCATGAGATTCTATAATACAAGGTTGTCAACAAGGAAAGTCGTCAACGATTTCTCTAGCTAAGACAGATTCACATGCTGCCTAGTTGTGGATTTTCATTTATAATGGAAGGGTCTCTTAAATAGAGTCACTGCGTGACGCAAATGGTTAACAGGCTTGGCTGCTAACTGAAAGGTTAACAGTTCAAGTCAGAGACACCTCAGAAGAAAGGCCTGGCACTTTTCTTCTGAAAAATTAGCCGTTGAAAACCCTATGAAGCATAGTTCTACTCTGACACGCATGGGGTAGCCATGAGGCAAAATTGACTCAACAGCAACTGGTTTTTTAACCAGTCCCTTAGATGGCCTCCCTAGATTATGCAGACATAGCCCTGGAGGGAGGTGGGGCAGGATATGCAAAGGAGTCTCTGGAGAGAAAGGAAATGGAATCCTCAACACCTTCCCTTTTGAGGGGCAATGTTCTTAGGAGCTCTCTGATGGGTTAGGATGCCCTTGACTGAGGTCTGCTGTCAGGAAAGGATACCGAGGGCCCCAGTGTGAAGAGGAGTCTAGACCAATGACCTCGATTCAACACAGGGCCCGGAGCTGGTGGTGTAGGCTGGTTTGGGCCCAATATGTGTCTGAGGCTGGAAGCCCCCGCAGACTCAAACCATCTGTCTGAGCTTATCAGTGTGAAATAACAGGTTGTAAATTGAGAAGCTTAATATGGGGCACCAGTGTGACTGAGCAAGGATCTGACCCAGCAAAGGGATCACCACAGCAGTGAATAAGCATTCACTAAACTACACCAGAATGTGTTCAACAGCGGCACCATGTGGCAACAACTGTAGTGGCTCAGGCTCTGTCTTGGAATTTAGAAGTAGGATGGACACCTTTGGACAGAGAAAGCCCTGAAGTCTCTCAGTTTACTCAAGGAGAAGGAGACTTTGAGAGGGAGCCTAGGACTTTCAGAGCCCTACTGTATGTCTGGGGCTTTACTCCTATTACCGCCAGCCCAGCTCTGCTTGAGAGATGCTACAGACAAGAACACAGAGACCCTGACAGTTTAAGTGACTTGCCCAACGTCACAGTTAACAAGTGGTAGAGCAGGAAATTAAGCCCAGGCCTGTCTGACTCGAAACTTGTACATTCTTCATCAAGCCCCACATTGGGGCGGGAGGAGAGGGGAAGGCATATGTCCCTGGGCCTCTCACCCACAGGGCCTTTAAAGGTCATCTCACTCACCACTGCTTATAGATGGGGAAACCGAGGCTTGGGGAGGTGATTCCCTCAAGGCCATACAGTGAGACAGGGACAGTGCCAGGTCCACACCCAGAGTGTCCACATCAAAGTGATATGCTCTGGCAGGCAGGCCAGACGGAATGATCTTGGTTTGCATCCAGCTGTACCTGGGGGTGCTAGATCAGCATCAAGGCCAGGGAAGGGGCCAGCCAGCCTGGCAAGACTTCCCAGCTCCAGGGTGGGAGGCTTAGTTCAGGGTGGGCTCCAGACCCCAAGGCCTAGCATGCCCTTAGTTCTGCTCATGAGCTGACCTCCTCCAGCTGTGACCCTGTCTTGGAGCAGCAAAACCAGTTCCAACTCCACCTGCCAGTGGCAGGGGGTGGGCTCAATGCGTCCCCAAGCAGGCCTCTCCTGGGCTCAAGAACCAGGATGTGCTGAGCCACTCAGGCAGCCGGTAACTGCCCAAAAACTGCCTTCCCACAATCCTCCTGCTTGCTCACACACCCCTGCCCTTTGGGGCCCAATGATGCCACCACTTGTTCTGTTGTCTGCCCACCATCTTCTTTCAAGCAGTCTCCTTTTAGTTATGCAAATTTATTGAAAAAGACACTTCCTGTTGCTACCCTCAATGGAAAATCAGAATCACTTGCTATAATTAGAAGGTAGCTATAAAATATAAACACAACAGAACCTATAGCTGTAATTACACCCCAGCTAGACCTTTGCCTGAGTCAGGGCCTGAGTCTGAGGCCTGTTCATCCTTTGCTTAAAGAGAGAGGGGAGAGAGAGAGAAGTGTTAGAGACCCCTTATCACCAAGCTGAGGCTTCGCTTGGATTTATGCATGAACCCGTTGCTGTTGAGTTGATTCCGACTCATAACGACCCTATAGGACAGAGTAGAACTGCCCCATAGGGTTTCCAAGGAGCACCTGGTGGATTTGAACTGCTGACCTTTTGGTTAGCAGCCGAGCTCTTAACCATTGAGCTACCAGGTCTCCAAAGTAGTGGAAAATTTGCAAAAAGAATTAAGTATCTGGCCACATGGCTTGGGTCATCCAATGCTGTCTTTGCACTGTCCCAAGCACCCTGGAAATTCTGCCCCCTGCTGCTTGTCCCCATGGCCCCAGTCTCCCAATCCCCAAGACCTGTACCTCAGCCCTGCTGGCTCTCCAGCTTCTTAGTCCTTGGCCTGATTTGGGTTTGACGGACCATCTTTGACTTAGCTCCTGACTTCACACCCTGATATCAGGTTAAGACCCCCAAATGGAGGGAGTGTTCTGGATCAATCAGAACTGGAACCTGCAGCATGTCACCTGGTGGGTGTCACAGCCCATCTAGCTCTGCTCTCCTGAAAACAGCAAAAAATGCCCTTCCCCCAAAGGGGCCTTGGACCAGCCCCCCTCCCAGTCTGCACCCACAATAGGCCCTCTCACAGGCCTCATCCCTCGCTCTCTGCTTACACTCATTTTCTCAGTAAACAGAGAGTGATGGCATTCCTACCATGTCCCAGACCCAACAGCTGGGGACACAGCAGTAGACAGAACAGACCCAGTCCCTGCCCTCGTAGAGATGGGAGCCACTCACAGAGCAAACAGAAGCTGGGACAAAGGCTCTCCCTTAGCCAGGCTGTCAGGGAAGGCTTCTCAGAGAAGGAGCCATTTGAGGGGGTCAGAGAGGATGTGGGGAGCCAGTCACAGGAGTGTCCTGGCAGAGAGAAAGCAGAGCACAGTCCTGAGGCAGGAACAGGCTTGACATCACCTTTGTCCTAGAGCAGCTGCCTCCTCAGGAATCACTGGTCCTCGATCCCTGGGGACCCTCGGTCCATGTCTGGGCCCAGAAAGGGGCCAGCCCCAGATGCCCCCTCCCTGATATGCCATCCGACTCTGCCTTTTCAGAAGACGTCTTGCACACTATGTCTGGGCTTCGCGCATGTCCAGTGACTGACTTGTTCAAGGCGAAGCAGCCTGGAGCTTGTATTTAGGGTTTGTAGGCCCTTTAGGTTACAAGTGACAGAAACTCAACATTGACCTGGCAAGGGAGGAATTTATCATCTAAAGTCCAAGAACAGACTAGCTTCATGCGGAGTTGGACTCAAGCACTTAAACCTTGTCATCGGGGCAGCCTGGGACAGAAATTGTTCTTGAACATACTGTTTTGTAATCTACTTTTAGAGTTTTAACCATATATCATGAACACTTCCCTATAACCCATTCTTCTACCACAGTATTTTTAATGGTTTCATTGAATTCTAACGTATGCGCCATAGTTATTTTAACAGTCCCGAAATGTTCCGAATTTTCCTTATTATAGAACACTGCGACAAACATCCTGATCCTTATGTCTTTTTCTGTGTTTGTGCTCTTAAGGCAATTTCTAACAGTGTGATTTCTGAATCAAAGTGTATCAAAACAAACCAGACGGGCTGCCCTCCAGTTGATTCCGACTCAGCGACCCTACAGGACAGAGTAGAAATGCCCCATAGGGTTGCCAAGGAGCAGCTAGCTGGTAGATTCCAACTGTCGAACTTTTTTTTTTTTAATTGTAATTAAATGAAGTTTACATTTCAAGTTAGTCTCCCATACAGAATTTTTTTTTTTACATACATTGTTATAAGACCCCAGCCCCTCACCCCATTCTGCGACAGCACACTTCTTCCCTCTACCAGATTCCCCATGAACATTCCACCAGCTCCTAACTCTGTCTGCCTTCCCTTCTCACCTCTGGACAGAAGCTGCCCCTTTGGTCTCTTGTATCTACTTGTCTAAGAGGCACATTCTTCACAAGTATCACTTTATGTCCCACAGTCCAGTCCAATCCCTGTCAGAAGAGTTGGCCTTGGAAATTGTTTTAGTTCTGGGGTGATGGAG